GATGTGGCTTTGAGTTAAAAACAGAAAAATGCTTAATGGATATTTGGTAGAAAAGTCTTTTAAAATATGGGATTCAGGGAGAGGGAAGAAATAAAAGAGATTCTAGTGCTGAAAAATTTACCTTAAGACCTTTACAGAGTATTACACTGTACAGCTCCCTGATAAACAGTTCTATTGATGGAGGAGATATGGTCTCTACGAAGAAAAAACAGTGGTCTAAACTGAGGAATTAGGAAAATGAGAAAAAGAATATCCAATGATGTAATCAGTGGTGGCACCTATCATTTGACTCTGGTCTCTCTTGAGAACAGTCTCCAAGAATCTGTAAAGTAACAGACCTAGTATGTGCACAGAGCTGTGTTTGGAGCTCTTAAACTCTGCCAAGAATTGTGATTGCTTCTGCCACTGGGTAGTTACAAAGTTCTGCACAAACTTGCCAGGATAAGAGAGCAGCATGTCAGTGTTTTGTGTTCTTTTCTGTGATGGTCAGTCAGGTGCAGCCTCAAGAGGAGACATAGGAGAGACTCGGGAAAACAAAATTTATTATACTTACAAGTCCTAGAAACAAGAGGCATGCCATACCACACAGGGCCACCTAGGAAAGCATCTACCTCAGGAGCAGAGAGATTGCTTAGAACTGCAAAGGCAAGGCAGGACAGGGTGAATCATATAAGACAGGGAAATTTGAATAATTTTAGGGGATTTTGGTCTATAGGAATGGTCTCTAATTGCCTGTTAACTAGCCCTTGGATGATTAAGGCAGAGGAATATTGACTCTCCAGGTACGTACTCAGATAGAAGAGATATGGCTCTGGCTTGATTAGTTTGCATATCATAGGCATGCTCCGTGCTGAGTCCTTTGCTATCTCTAAGAACTGGCTAGCCCAGGGAGGGAGAGTCTCTCCCCTGCCAGAAAGGGTTTTTTTTTTTGAAGATGTCAAACATCATAATAGACAAAAGAAAATTAAAAATATAAACTACGGTCAAGGATTGAACGAGTGAGATGTGAACAAAATTGAACCCAGAGGCTGAGAGAGAAATAATTCTGAGGATTGGGGAAAAAAAAATGACAGGAAGAGCCAACTAGGGAGAGGCTGTGCGGGATACTTACTGGGCTTCCGTGCTCTTGATCTGGGATGAAAATAATGTTTCCCTTAGAATATTCTGCCTTTTGCTACCATTGTTTTAAGTAGATATATACAACCTCTATGTGCCATACGGGAGGTGTGCTTGTAGAAAGTGCCTTGGGAGTTTAGAGTGATAAAGAACAAAATTCAGCTGAGTAAATTTGAAGATCTAATTGGTTTTATTAAGCAGTTTATGAATCAGGAAGCATCCCAGCTAGCAACTAGAAGGGCACACGGAAGAGTTGCACAAAACGGAAAATTTTATAGGCAGAAAGAGGGTGAGACTAAGAAATGAGAGTGGATTGTTTCAGGCAAGGACACCTCCCCTGAGAAGAAGGCATGTGGTCTTATAGACAGATTACCTCACTAGTGATGATCAGGAAATCTCAGACTGATTGGTTAAAATTCTCTTCCTGGAGAGGCTGAAATTGCAGTTAGGTTAGTTATTAAGTGTTGGTTTGATGATGTGACTTAGCAAAAGTGACTTCATTTTGGCCTATTATTATTATTTTAACAATTAGAAGTTCAGAAGCCGTTAGATAATGAGCTCTGCCTCAAGGGGCCCTACTAAGCTGAAGGTGAAGATCAGACCCATCTTCGCTTTTCAGTTTCTGGCACAATGCCTTATTCATAGTTGGTGTTTGATACATCACTGTCACCTGGGTGTTGAGCAAGTCATGGGTCCCTTGGCAGGGCTCATTGAGAATCTTAAGAAAATATGTGAAAAATATGAAAAAATAGGAAAAAATGTTTACATATCTGTGAATGAAAAGGGAGCTCTGATTGTAATCTGACCATGTTCTGGTGACCAAAAGTAACCTCGCAGGATAGGTCTTGGTGCGGAGTCACCCAGGCCTATAACTTCTTTAGTAAAAAGTTTATCTTTGCCTTAAACAAGCTCCATCCATTGTTCTTGTGCTTATGGGTTAACACAGCTCTGAAATGCCAGAGTAATCCTCTTTTTCAGACCCCATGGAGAGGAGGTGTAATCACCTTCAAGGGAACACATAATCGTATTAACTATCCTGTAATCTAATCCTAGAGATTTCCCCACCTGGATTTCTTCCACCTTCTCTCCCACTTTCGTGTAATCTTCCTTACTTCTTTCCCGAATTCCAGTTCTATAAAAAGAACTGAGAAACTGTCATTCGCCAGAGTATTTGAGATCTTGCTTCCTGAGATGTTGTTATTTTGGCTCAAATAAACTCATAAAAATTTTCTACGGATTTGAATGTTCTTATGTTAACATATCCATTGAACAACTCCAAAATCCATCCTCGAGCTATCAGAATAAATCAATTATTTTATCCACTGTCTCAGTATATAACAGTACTCAACTATCCTTTGTTAATTTTGATGAAAATGTGAAAAGGGTACTAGTACAACGGTTCGATGTACAAATTTAGAGCTCCCTTTATCAGTCTTTGAACTTAAGTTCATAAGCCCCTACTTCTGCTGATGGCAAAATCATTAAACTTTCCAATTCCATGTCATTCAGCAATATTTAGAGTTTAAAAGTGGTGAGTTTGACATTTAAAATTAATTAATTCAAGATTATCCCCTTTCCCTTTATTGTAATTGCCTCTTATTCACCTGTTGGAAAGGAAGGGATTATGGGGATGGCTGAACACATGGCACTAAACAGTGGACAAATGAGATAACAGCTGTTTATTAGTCACCTATACTGACAGCCCAGGGGAAGAGGACATTACATGCCATTCAGGACCACAGTGGAACTGCAGCTGGGAACAGAGTAAACAACCAGGGGCTGTGGGAGGAGGCCTTTGTAGCATCGAGAGGACCTTGTACTTGGTTCCCATAGGAGGATGTGATTGGTTCATTTGAATAATTTTATGGTCTGGCAGGTGTCTGTGTAAGAAACATCCAAACATGTAGAGTTTTTTTTGAGCCAGACTGATGATGTGTGCCGGGGAGCAAGATGTCAAATGCTCTGGAGAATAAGTTTGCAGTTTCTTTTATGCATTTGAAATTAAGGAGGGGACATATGGAAGATTCCGTGGAGATGGAAGAAAGCAAGGTGGGGCCTGGACTACAGGATAGTTAAGATTATGTGCTTTTTGAGGATGGTCGTGTATTAGAAGGAAGAGTCTGAAAAGGAGCATCTCAAAAGTGTACTAACCTAGATGCACAAGAACAATAAACAGGGCTTGCTTTAAAACCTTCGCTAAAGAAGGTATAGGCCTGGGGCGTGACTACCCGCCATGACCTGCCTGTTAGGAACTTATGATTTATTATAGCACCCTTTGTCGTCCATACAGGGAGTTGAAACTACTACTTAGAAGTTATAGGCCTGGGTGACTCCGCACCAAGACCTATCCTGCGAGGTTACTTTTGGTCACCAGAACATGGTCAGATTACAATCAGAGCTCCCTTTTCATTCACAGATATGTAAACATTTTTTCCTATTTTTTCATATTTTTCACATATTTTCTTAAGATTCTCAATGAGCCCTGCCAAGGGACCCATGACTTGCTCAACACCCAGGTGACAGTGATGTATCAAACACCAACTATGAATAAGGCATTGTGCCAGACAGGGACTGGCAGGGACTGTACTTGGGCCCTTTGATAAAGAAGTTTGTTTGACTAGGGGACCCTATCCATGGGGGCAGAATGGGGAGGGAAACTTGTGTTTAGGCCATTCAAGGCAGCACATATTATTGGACTTTAATTTTAGGTCTCATACCATACCTTTTACTCCTTCATTGCTGTCAAGAGGGATCCAAGTTCCTGGAGGAGCTTATAAACCATGCTAGCGGTCAGAGAGGAGTGGCCAACCTCACCCGCCTCTGTCGTGGATTAGCTGGTCCATCCCCAGATCCCTTCTGGTTGGCCTGCTACTCAGCACCCTGCTGGACAGCCACTTGTGGGGGCTCAGGCACTCCCCAGGTCTTTCCCCTACACGTTGATTGTCTATGAGTTTCTGGTAGGCTGCCTTATTTCCATCAGTGCTAACATCTCCCTTAGTCATTGTTGATCTTCCTTTTTATGTCTGTTTTATACAGCCTTGGGCCAAGCCCCTGAAGGATCCAGGCAAAAGGTCCCTTCTGGTCTGAGATACCCTCCTCCCATCTTATCCTGTATCAGGATCTTTTCTTTGGCATCCAATAGATCTAAGCTCTAGAAACTGTCTTTTCTTGCTTGCTAAACTCTTATTTCCTTCTGGGCAAGAAAGTCATTGTAATTTATCATGCATATTTCCTTCTCTACAATTTATGGTAAAACTTTCACGCTCTAGTTTTCAGGATTTTTGGTTCTTGATATGCAAAGCCAAGTTTTGTTCAAAACAAAACAAAAAGCTTTCTCTCTCAACCCCCAGATTTTTATTATTTAATTTAAAAATTTGGTTTTATACATCAAGAATTGTTGTCTCAGCTATTGGTCTTAAAATAATCAACAAGCTATATCTTTGTTCTAGAGCTACAGGTGAATACAGTAGCCACATGTGGCTATTTAATATAAAACTTTAAATTACTATTGATTTGGATAAAAGAAAATTTAAAACTCACTTCCTCAGTTGCAGTAACCACATTTCAAGTGCTCAACGCGGCTAGTGGCTATCATATCAGACAGTCAAATATAGAACATGTCCACATTGCAGAAAGTTCTATTGAACAGTGCTAGTGTAAACTGTATCTACCTTTCCCCCTGTGAATTGTGAGAGCGAAGGGCTATATATCCTGACAGGGTGAGGGATGAAGTAGCAGAAAAAGAAACCTGTTAATATCTCAAAATGTTATCTTGCTATAGTAACTTTGAAGAAAGTGTTGAGCTTTAGAAGCGTAAGTAACTGCTTTTAATGAGATTCCCTTCGTGTTTTGGTAGAAGGACATTTTTGACAGCCGGAAATGCTTCTGCCTACCAGTCTGTCACAGACGGCATGTACCATGGGTTGCCACCACTGAGTAGCTCTCTGGTGAAGAGCATTTTTGCTTCACAGCTCCGCCTGCCTCAGCCACTGGGTCCACAGAGCCTCCAGGTGCGTTCAGAGGTATTTTTATACCTATAAAAGGGAATGTTATGCATAGAGAATTTTGTCACTTTGTTTCCATTTGGTTTAAATTGCAGGGGCTCTGGATGTGGTTCTATAGCATAGCGGTTAGCACGTCTTCTTTACACCCAGAAGGTCCTGGGTTCACACCTCAGTGGAGCCAGGATCCATGGTCTATGACCATGCCATCCTGAACAAGCCCAATGTCTGATCTTGGAAGCTAAGCAGGGTTGGGCCTGGTTAGTACTTGGATGGGGGACCACCTAGGGAGACCAGGTGCTGTAGGCATGCATAAATAAATAAATAAATAAATAAATAAATAAATAAATAAATAAAATCGCAGGGGCTCTCAGTGCTCTAATGCACTCCAGTCTTAGTTGGCTCCCCTTCATTTACATGGTAGAGCAGTCTGGCCCCCACGACTTGCTGTTATTCCCAGTCAGGGTTTTTGCCTCCAAACTGCTCAACAGGTTAATTGGGGCAACAGTGTATCTGCTCACAGCTGGCAGCAAAACCAACACTTGATCTTTTCCCTTTAATAATATAATAATGATAGGAATTACCATACATCAATGAGGTCAGCAGCTGAGCTGATTAGCCCCACTTATAACATGTGTTATCAAATGTAACCCTGTTGGATAGTGATGTGGAGAAGACAGAGGCCTAGGTGTAACGTTGTGGCATTGACTTGGAGTCGTTACCTAGAACTAAAGCACAATGGTGATGAAGGACAAATTTTTAAGATTCCTAATATTGAGAACATTTGAGAAAGTTCAGTTTATTAATTATAAATATGTCCCACTGGTATTATATTATTTTGGAACTTTCGAACACTCATGCCGACTAGTTACACTGAAGTCTTCAGTACCCTCTGTGTTTAGCCACTTTCTGTTAAATACGATTATTACTCTCTTCTCTACATCATCAGGGACTATACCTCAAGAATTATTTCTACATAATAAATAAATCATCCACAGTATTTAGGGGTGCAGACACAAACATCTTGTTCATATACAGATATCTATTACTTATGGACACAGTACAGTATAATCATGTTTATTATTTGGTTCTTTTAGGCATTCGTGTTGTTCCCTTGGAGAGCATTTCTGGAAGATGGAGGACCATTTCCAGTTATGAGTAGCAGACCAGATACCCTGGAATATAATATGCAGGTAGGATAGGTCTTCCCACTTGTCATGGAGAGCACTGAATGCAGACTGCAAAGCAAGTGTCATTGGACCCATAAGTCAAATCCTCCACACTCTAGGCAGTGTTGAATAATTTATGAGATAAACAGAATGGTTTCTGATGAGGCTGTAAACCCAGTGCCTGCAAGGCGAGTCATGTTTTCTTAAAACACAAGAGAATCATGGTCTCAACTGCTATCAACTTTTGCTGTAGACTCAGCTAAAATTGCCATGGCCATTAGTATCTGGGAGAGAGGCCATCCACTTCCAATCACTCTCTGGGCCTCTTAGAGAAACACCCAGGCTGGCAGCTCAGGAGCCTCTGACTCTGACTCACCTAGGAACAGTAATAGAGAGAACTCTTTAAGCAAAACTCATAAGGAGAATTTCTTTCAATTATGTGTTTTCCCTCTCATCACTTATGCAAATATTATCATGTTTTTGTTTTTAAAAATATAAAATATAGAAATGTATTAAGAACAACATGAAAATCAATCATAAATTTGCTTCAAAGTAATATGGAGGTGGAGAGTAATGGGAATGGGGCAGGACTGCCCATAGATTGATGGTTCTTGGGGCTGGGTAATGGGAACTATTCTATTTGATTTTGTATATGCTCAAAATTCTCCATAAGTCAAAAAGTTTTGTTATTTTTTTTTAAGTAAAATAGTAAAAATTATTTAAAAAAAAAAACAGTCATAGCCTCCTACTAGGAGACAATCACAATTTACATTTTAGGTTTATTTTTTCCAGTATTTTCCCTATGCACACATGTGTTTATTTCTGTACTTTTAAAGAAAAGTTGGTATCACGCTATACATTCACCATGTACAGACACCACTGTAAGGCTGGGAAACTTGAATTTCCATACAGAGCCAAAAGTCTTATATGTTCAAAGAAGACATTGAGCTAGAAATGTTGCTCTGATTTCTATGGAATGTTTTAACAGTTGAGAGGGCAGGGCTTGTAAACACAATTACTCCTAGTTTTCTTCCCAAAAGCCATATGTAAAGGACACATAGAAGTCCTCAAAATGGATGTTTTCGTTTTGTTTTGTTCTTTTTTGTTTTTAGCTGTGCTTCTGTAATTTAAGTGGCCCCGACCTCAAGGTGGCTCATGGAGAGCTGGTGGGCATGCAACTGCTAATGGAAGATGTACTTTTGAGCCACTATCATTTGATCATGGAAAGTGCCCCAGGACAGCAAGCCACACTAGACAAAAATACACAGGTATTCTTGGTGAACAGTCCACTTATTGGCTGATGCTGTATTGTCCCAAAAAACCTTCCTAGTTTGTAGAAGGACTTGAGAGCCACATCTGCCCATAGCCTCTCCCAATGGGTCCCAAGACTGTGCTAATGCTGCACAGGAGCAGCAATGAAGCCGGAGTAGCCTGTTAAAGCCACTTCAAAGTATTTTCTTTCACAATAAGTCCTGCGATTGGTGGTATATCCATTTATTTTAATTTTAAAAATAGAACAAAGATTATGGGAGGTCCATCGAAACCAAATGGAACAAATGCTCCATTGCTGGCTGCTTTTCCATGTGAATCCCACATTTAGGACTGGAGTAGGAAGGACCAGAGGGGTAAGATAAGGGCCCCCGATGAAGATCTCCAGCCTGGGCTTCTGTCTTTATCACTCAGCTAGCCTATGGGCTCCTAGGCAAGCACTCTCTCCTTTGGACTTACTTGTTCCTCCGAAACTCTAAGTTACCAAGAGCCACTAGGCCACCTGGGGTCATAACTTGAAACAATTCTGCATGTCTCTTGGAACCAGATAGAGATTTGTCTGGATACAGGGTGAGCTAGCTGGTGCTCCTATTTAAAGAGCCTCCTTCCCAGAGCTAACCTTTCTGAGAGACGTGTGCACCAGCCATCTGCATTTCCTTACCTTTCATCTACTCATCAGAAAGTGCAATCTCTCTTCCTACCCATCGCACCACTGTGACCACTGTCATCAAGAGCACAGTGGTCCTTGTCACTAAATCCTCTGGAAACGTTTCAGTCTCCTTCCAACCTGACCCCTTGGCAGCATTTGACAGTGTGTCCTTCCTGAAGCCTCTCTTCCCTTTTGCTTCCAAAGCCAACTCTCTCCTAGTTTTCCTCCAACATTGCTGGCCACAGCTTCTCAGGCTTCCCTGTAGACTCCCCTGTCTCTCTCTGCCGAAAATGTTGTTGTTTTGGGGATTGTCTCACTACTACTACTACCAGGCTGCATTTTGACTTCCATGGCTCTAACCACTTTTGTCTTGTGGGCCCTTTCCTCCATAAAACAAACAAACAAAAAATTAAAATTTATAGTTTACAACTGTGTTAATATAAAGAAAAATATGTTAATGTCATATATTAAACCATTTTATTCTTTTTTTTCTGATTTTAAAAGAAATCAAAACATTTTGTGAGGCCCGGGCACTGTGCCTTCTGTGTCTAATCAATAACTTCATGATGGATATTATTAATACTACTATTGGCTATAATTGAGATCTGTTCAGAATACTTTAATTATTAATTTCTTTAATCCTCACAATAATTCCACGAGGTAGGTACTTTCATTTTCCTCATCTTACAGATAAGAATACCAAGGCACAGAAAGGTTAAGTGATGTGCCCAGTCACATGCCTCTGAGGAGAGAAACCCTGATGCCACCCCAACAGCCTTGCTCTGGAGCTCCCTCATACTCTCATTCACTGTGTCACCCTGCTTCTCACCCTCTCCCTAGGCAAACCTATCTACTTTTATGACTTTGATGACTTGCATGCAGCAACTCCCAAATCTACATGTTCAGTCCAAATCTCAATCCTATCAGATTCATGTGCTCAACCACCTTGTTCCATCTCAGAGACAGTGTGTCCCAAACTGAGCTCATTTTACTGCCCCCAAACTTGCTTGCTGCTTGGATATTCCCTGCCTGGCTGTCCAAGCCAAAAAACCTGGACACCCATCTTTGATTTCTCTCTAGTATACCCTACAATCAGGCAAACACCAAGTTTTACTATCCTATTATTTTAATATCTCTCAAGTTTATCTACTTTTCTTCATCCGTCCTCCCCACCCCATGTCCACCAGTCCAGATGATCATCATCTCCTAGTCCAGAGCTATGCTCATAACCTCCAATTGGACTCCCTGTATTCACTCTTGCATCCTTCCAGTCTATTCCAGTCCATTATTTTTTATGCAAACCTGACTATGTCACTTCCATCCTATAACTCATCAGTGATTAGCAAACGCCCTGAGAATAGAGTCCAAATGCCTTAATCAGAACTTCACAGCTTGACTCTGGCCACTATTTCTACCCTCAACTTCTTTCATGTTGTCAAATGCACCATGCACTCTCTCCTCTGTACCTTCATATAAGCTGGTCCCTCTGGTGGAAAACTTCCTTCTTCCACTTTCTGCTTCACCATCCGATTAACTCCTACTTATCCTTCAGGTTTCAACTTCCAAACCACTCTTTTGGAAGTTTTTTTTTTTATTTTCCACCTTTAAGCAGATGCCACTCTATGCCAATTAGGGTGTACTTGCCATATGTAACAGCTTGTCCCACTAGCCATGACTTCAGTTAGAGAAGTGTATTAATCTTTCAAAACAGTTGAGGTCAGTGCAGTCACTCAAGTAGATTGCAGGCACCCAGCTCTGCCATCCTGGGTATGTCAGCAAAATGCCACCTTCATCCTTGTAAGATGAAAAGAGGAACAAAAAAAAGCTTTCTTTGAGGAAGATCTTTTTATAAAGGAGGAAAATCTTTTCCAGAAGCCTTCCAATAGATTTTCCTTATACCTTTCTAACACTGAGTCACAAGTCTTCTTCAGGGCAGTTAGTGGAAAAGGAAATGTTTTAGATGCACCACCTGAATGCTACAATAGAATTAGATGCTTCACCTAGAAGGAGCCCTTGCAAAGCTGGGTATAGACCAAGTAATGCCAAGACTAAAAGCATATTGGGCCCTCTGGTTCTTCACTTGATCATTTTTTGGCCCTGTTTCTGATCAATTATCATTGTTCCCTGACACTTTCACCTCCCCTACTTTGTTCTTTTACTTTGTCTCCTGTTCCTTTTCCCATTCTTTAAAACACTTAGAAAGAGAAGACTTCTCTTAATAAGAATACATTTGACCCTTGACCAACATGGATTTGAACTGTGTGGGTCCACTTATACCTAGATTTTTTTCAATCAATGTACAGTTGGCTCTCCATATTTCCAGGTTTCATATCTGTGGATTCGACTTAAGTTATATTCAGATTTTTAGCTGTGCAAGGGTCAACTATATGTTAACAAAGTAAGTTTGCTTTAAAATTATTTTTTATTTTAAGTAGTTTTATGATTTGTTTTATTTAGGAGTATTTAACTATTTGTAGACAATAGGAAACACTGGAATTTCTACTGCTAGTGAGTTAGAATTCTGAGTTTCCTGTCCCATCTGTGCCACCAGTTCTTAGACTTCAGTCTCTCAAACTCTGAAGTGAAGGCGATAGATTGTCTCAGAGCCTAGGTCCCAGGAGTCCTGGGGTTCCTCAGAGGCACCTTGGGGCTTTCTGAGCACTAGGCCCAACTCTGTGGCCTTTAGGCTGCTTCCTCCCCGTCACTGTGATTGGCCTTGGTCTCTTGGATATGTTGGGCCACTGTATAAGATTTCCTTTAATGAAAGGTTTCCGAGGATTAAAAAATCTGGGAACACGTGGATTAGCTGATTGTTGAGGAGGTAGGCTACAAGGTCGAGAGGTTGCCAACTGTCTTCAGGAACTCACTCCCTCCTGGGTCTTGTTTGCCAGCTCTCCCTCTGACCAACCCTCTTTCTGGCAGCCATGCCTTTCTTTAGACATGTTAATAGCACTGATCTAGGATCTAGTTACTCTAGTTCTTCCGGTTCCTAACCTGGAAACCCTAGTGTCTAAGGTGCTAGCTATTACCTCATTGTTCCCTGAGGCCCTTCTTGTCATAGCATCATGATCCGGATTTGCCATCTTCATCTGCAAAGAAAAGCTCCTTTTCCTGTGACTGAGATACTGTTGTCAGACTGAGGGGCTGGACGCAGGTGCCTATACTGTCTGTCACTCGCTGGGTCACCTGGCCCTTCTACCTTATACCCTGGCTACAGGAGAGCAGGGACCCAGAACCCTCATTCCAACCACATCCTCCAGGGCTCATAATAGCCCCTCGACAAACTCTTATTTAAGAAAAACACCAGTGAATGAATGAACAAATCATCATTTTAAAGTAAAATTACCTATTGAATAATAAATTCAAATTAAGAGACATGTTCTCTAACTTTTAAAGGATAGGAGAAGGAAAAGGAGATAGATAAGATAAATTTAAGTTTCTATTTACTTACCCATACAATTTAAGGTTATATTATTGCTCTACCATATGGGGAGTTGAATCTCAAGGGTATTGAAGAGCACTTTCCAGAATGCAGAGGTAAACACAAAAGGCTTAATTTTTCAAAGGGAGATAAAATGTTAGTACCCAAGTAAAAGAGATATAAAAATAAGGGATTCAAGAGCCAAACAGAAAACCGTGTCCTGTCTGTTTAGGAAGGATACTTTCCCTCTCTAAGCCCCACGTGTACTACATAGGTCTGCAAACCACTCCTCTCGGGGAGAAGAATCAGTGTTCAAAGACTTCATTTTGTGTAGGCCGCAGGTAAAAGATTATTCTGTATTTACCCATGATCAATAAAGAATGTCTGTAATGCTTTCAGCCAAATTTGTCCAGAGCGCCAGGATTCAGAGGTCTGTTCCAGAGCAGCCCAAAGGCCTCCAACCTTCTGGGAGGCCCATGTGATGAGGTGGTGTCCCTTGCTTTGCTGAGATCATTTCTGATACTGTGGAAGCAGCTGGAAGTGCTGAAGGAGCACTGGGGTCAGTTTAAGCTGGGAGGCCAGGACATCAATTCTGTCTCTCTCCACAAACAGTTCTTGGAGCTCTATGGGTGAGTGTTGCTGAGGTGGAAATTCATGTGAAAGAGTGGAACCTAGGGTTTGCCAAATCCCAGCCCCTTGCTCTGAGGGTGAGATTTGGTCCATGATTCTTAGTATGGTCAGCCCCACTAAGCCCAGAGGAAGCTGGGCAATGTGTCTTGACAAACAGCGCTTTACAGGAAAGGCTGGGTTCTGTTGACTGCAGTGATGGTGCTAGGGTCCAGCAAGCGACACTATACACCATTTACCCAAAGTTCTATACCTGTGAACTTGTGCTTCTAAAGTGTCCCCACAGTGCTGATTCTAAGCTTTTTAGCTCATAGGATCCCAGCAAGCACTGAGTGGGGGAAATGCTGCTTCTGTGAACTCCTCCCCACCCTCTGCCCCATTAGACCCAAGTGCTGAGTCTCCGAGGGCTTTGTGTGTTGCAGCCAGAGGTATAATGGAGTACAGAGGTATAATTAGGTTTATGGGATGATAGGATGTTTTTTGGAGCTTAAAACCCTAGCCGGAATGACTTAACTGGCAGGAAAAATACATCACTATTGCCATATGTCTGTCACCAAACAAGCATTCCCTAGGCAACCACCCACCACCCTGGAACTTACTGAGTGCAACGAGATTCGCTTTGGTGGAGTAATCTGAATTGTCTGTCTCATGAGTTACTATAGTCAGCTCTCCTGGTTACTAGGGAATGAGAAGACTTGTCAATGTTTTGAAAATGAAGACTGAAATTAAATATACCCAATGGGAAAAGGCCTTGGGATTTAATATTGACTAAGGGAATGACAACTGTGGTGAATTTACATGTCGATGTGAGTGTCTGATGAGTTGGGAGGTTTATATGTGATGACAGGAAACAGAACATGAATGAAAATAATTGTTAGAGAATTTGTATTAGGAAAAAAATATGTTTGTTTCTAATTTCTCTCTCCCTTTTTCAATAGAACTGACATTCTCTACCCCAGCATGAAAGCTATAGCTAGGCAGATGGGAAAAGAAGATGAATTTGAAGGACTTATAATAAGTAGTCAGTCTATTCTTCCCCCAAAAGGAGCTTCAGAAATTGAAATAAAAACTCAGCAGGTATGCAGGAGCTATTTTGAATTTGGCTTTGAAAATTTGCTTTATGGAATTAGCATGTAAAACTATAGATATACTCAAGTGGTGTTTTGTCTAAGAAGTATAAATTGAAGTTTTGTAAATCATTGAACAGGCTCAGGGGGAACTAAGTATTTAAAAGCATGTGGGACTTTGATGAAACAAATAACTACCAATTAATGTCTCAGAACTGGAAGTCCAGATTTTTATATTTTAATTTTTCCAAATTAAGCTGCACCACCACAAAAAAAGACAATGATAGAAAACACAACCACTAGCATCTTAAACATAAAATACACAAGTCTCTCCCCTGCCAATACACATAGCTGTGGAAATTGAATATTTAAAATAGTGATTGTTTTTCTGAGAATAAGACAACACCATTTGTGCACGAGCCCATTGGTATGTGTTAGATGACCTTTGTGAAGAGGTTGTTTTTCCAAGTGTTTGTTCACTTTGGCCCTGGGACACCACCAGCTCCATGTAGCTGTGCTCATTGAAACATGCAAGCAAAGCCTCTAGCTGTTTAGGTGTCAATGCTGAGATGCATGTCCATTAAGCATCAAGGAGAACTTAGCGCCTCGCCCCACAACACACACACACACACACACACACACACACACACACACACACACACACACACACAGAGTTCAGTCCCAATCCCATTGCTTTTCTTTCTGAACCCTGGTTCTTCTCTAGTACCTCCAACAGGGAGAAACATGTGCTCTGCAAGCATAATGAATAAAGTAAAGGCTCACAGTTATTGAAACAATTTTCTCTTGGTTGCATATAGAGTTTTAAATCTCACGAAATCCTCCTTGGTGTCTAAATCAAGTTTCAGATTTGAGGGCTTCTCTTATAATAACGGCTCATGAAATTCCTGGCCACATTTAGAGACCCCAAAACACATGAGGTCACCTCAGACATTGAGCATTTTGCAGTTTAGCGGAACTTGGTAAAAGAGTTATATTTTATTAGTCAGGATGTGTGCCAGGAAGAAAAGATGTTGTTCTCCAAAGAGGTGCATCTTCTCCAGCAGAACCACATGGGAGCCCAAGACAGGAGCCTTTCCTTCCTCCCTGGGGAGAGTAGCTGGAGGACAGGGCTAGCCCAAGGCCCATCTGCAGTTATTTCACTTAGGAGCCTAGAGAGTAAACTGAATGCGGAGACTGACTCTCAAACTGCTTACTCTAGCTTCAGAAGCTTCTGGAAAATCTTGAAATTCATATGATCCAGGAGGTATTAAGAAAAGTTAACAGAGAGATAACACTGGTTTTGTCAGAAAAGTCCAAAGAGCAGCAGTGTACTCTACCGACAGGTAAAGTATGTTTATTTTATTACTTCACAAAAATAATATTTACTGGTTTTTTTCTAATTATAAAAGCAATCCGTGTATCCATATTCACGGTAAAAAAAAAAAAAAAAACAATGACAACTCTACCATGCCTAGAAAATTACACAAAAATTACTTTTTAACACCTTGGCCCAAAGAGAAGAACTATTAACACTTTGATATATTTCCTTCTACTTAAAGGGCTTTTAAATAGAAAACATTTGTTATATGTCAACTGTAATTGAACAGTAAATTTAAATAAATAAGTAAATAAGTAAGTAAATAAGTAAATCAATCAATCAATTAATTAATTAATTAATAAAACATTTGTTAACTCCAATCTCAACTCTGCTGATTAAGTCATAACTGGAATAAAGTTGAGATGGGGGAAACAAATAAAGCCTTTCTTATTCCATATATATATGTATATATATATGACATATATATATCAAAATCTTACGAATGAATATATTTGGGGTAGAAAGGCAATCGAAATTGTTTCCTTTCATCTGAAGTCTAAAGTCAGGGTCACTTCGTGGGCATGTGACCAGTGAACTCACACAGGACTCAGAGGTACTTGGGGTTTAATGCTTTGTGGATACCATCTTGAAACTCTTAATTTTAACTTAGAATTTCTGTTTTGTAAATGGAATCCAGTGAGCTGATGTAGCATGCACCAAGGGCTTGGAGCCTTGGCTCACATACAGGCCCACCTCCTGCTGCCCTGCCAGGAGAGTTCTCAGCTGCCTGCTCCTCTACTCTCTGTCACCCAGGGAACCTCCAAAACTCCCCCTCACTGCCTCCACTGAGCAATCACTACAGCCCTCCACCCCAGTGAGGGCCTGAGCTTGGCGAGGGTCAGGGTTGAGTATATGTACCTGGAAGCATGTAAAGGATCCCAGGCTGGACAGCACCACAGCGTGTTTGATAGGTGACTCAGTGGGGACAAGCCCGTTGTCCATCCCTGGGTACTTAAAATATCCCAGGACAAAGGCTGTAATACCTTTGGGGTTGTCGGCCCACAGTGGGTTGGGTGGTAGGCTCATGGGAATTAGAGACACCTGGCTCAACTTCTCTGCCCCTGGCCAGGCACAGGGCCTTTGTCCTGCCCTGGTGGGCCACGTGCACTCATGCACCCAGTCACAGGACGGGGCCCCTGGGTGCCCATGAGGGTCGCATTTGCCCTGCAAGCATCCCATGCCTGGGAGTACCACGTTAAAAACAAATAAGAATACCATGACAGGTTGAGAGAGAGACTATGGAAGAAAGGAAAATTCTATCTTTTAGTACCTATAACGGCACTTTTTTCTTGCTTTTTGAACAAAAAGCCCTGCATTTTTATTTTGCACAGGGCACCATAGATTATATAGCAGATTCTGTCTAAACTGTAACGTCCACTTCTAACTCCTACTAATTTCGTAGGAAAATCTACAGCCTTTGCGCTATAGAAGAGTTGTCTGCCTAGCAAAATAAATTAGGTTTTTCTCTTGAGACAAAGTATACAGACATTGTAATGTTTATGAATAACCTAGGTCCTCGCCTAAACCATTGTCATTTTATCGGTGCTTCGAGTAACTGAATTCTGTAAACAGGGCTCTGAGAATAGGCTGTTCAGTGAGAGGGCAAGCCACTCCCCACTGGGAGTCTCTGAATGTCACCAGAGTGCTGAGTGTGGTTGAGCTCCAATTACAGGACATTTAACAAGAGACAAAGTGCCCGTTGTTTATACTGTGTTTGCTGCATCCAGGTGGCTCCCTTCTGTGTCCTTGGAGAAAATCCACAAGCGCACAGCAGGTGCAACCATCTGCGTGTTTCTCGGGGCTGTGGTTCTTATGTGACACCTGGGTTGGGGCCTTGGGGAGGAAGCATCTTTGCCTTGTGGCTGTGCAGTTTGCTGCCTTGTGCAAGGTGCTTGTCAGCTCTTCGTGGAAAGAAGCGGAGGTCAGGCGGAGGGGCGGGGGAGAATTATTTGAAGTGCTGGTAAGGTTAATAATACCAAACCTTACTTTGGCTAGAGTATACTGACCAATGCTACTCTTGTTAAGATTCTGTACTCATAAAGCTTTTAAAATAACTGCCAATAGTGAGGGTGTTTTGCTCTGTTCAGCATGACTTACCTGAAGGCCTGGGTCTCCTCCTGTATTGACTTCCCCCCAGTGTGAGTAACTGAGTCCCCACTGTGCGCCAGGGGTGTTTTTATGTATATTTCTTTAATTTAGTTTTCCTGAGACCTCCATAGGCTGGGTACCTTCAAAGAAGACAATCAAACCACCTCCTGCTCATCTCAGCAGCCAGGTGCAGCCACAGTAGATGGGGCTTTCAAAGAAGGCTACTTCATCACGCAAGACCACCCTTTGTGGTGAAGGTTAGCTTGGGGCTAGGGGTTTCTCCAGAGGGAATTAGGAATGAAGAGACTGAGGCTAGGGGACATCGCAGGCTTTTGTCCTTCCTTCCGGATCTCCTCTCTGCCTGTTGGCTGACGCCGGTGTCCACATTTATACCTGCCAGAAAAGAACCCTCGAAACTTCTCCCCTCTATCTCCTTCCTTCCTCCCCATTTTGCCTTGGGGCTTCATCCCTTACAGCTTCTGAGTGAGTTTTCAGTTTTTCAGTGAGCATCTGAAAAATGTGTCTGGTCTGGTGCTAGTTCTTGGTAGCTGAACTAGGGCCTCCCTGAGAAATTGCAAAAATGGCTCCAGATGTCTTCTTCATCCAGCCTCTGGGTTTGCCTCAGCAAAGAGATGGACTCCACTGATTCAGAAAGACTCTGCCATTCTCCATCATGGATATTTTGGCATCGAAGTAATTTTTAATCGATTTTCTAAATTTCTCTGAGCAGTTATAAGGTCAGAAGTCTCCAAAGTGGAGTACATATATCCTAGAAGTATGGGAAGAAAATATTAGAACTTCTAAATTGATTGAGTCCTTATGTAAGAAGTGACACTCTGCACTGAGGTACCCTAAAGTAACGATGGGGAGGCAATCCACAAGCAAATATTAAGAAATAGTAGAGGGGACACTTCCAACCCTGCTTATCTTCAGCCACATTATGAGGTTTAAAAAATAACCTAATTACATTTGATAAGAAGTCAGACAAAAGACTTAAAAGGTCAAAGAAACTATTGGGAATATGGATTGAGACCGTTGGTAGATCTCCCTCACCCTAAGTACATCATGCTCTGCAATATTAGCCAGTAATTGTACTGGAGGTAGTTGCACATAAACATATGTATGTTAAAGGTGAGTGAACAAAAATGTTTCCCTTGAGAGAAACACAATCAAAAGACTTAGGAGAGCATGATCTAGGCCGCTTTCCCCATCGTCGTGCCCTGGAACATGAGTTCCTCAACATATTGATGCAGGACTTCTCCCAACCACCCTTCACCCGAAGCTTTCCATTCCTTGGTAACATGAGCTGACAAAGTACTCACTATTCACAGTATTTAGTTTGTGGATGTTCGCCTAGCATCATCAATCATTGTTTGCTCCAAACCTGTTTATGTCACTTTCACTTGTCATTGCGTTTGAATAATTTAATTATATATTATGTAAACCAATGAAATAGGAGTACAAAAAGAGATCTGTTCTATAAAAGCTAAGTTGAAATGGATACACTGTGGTACATCCAGTGAATGGAATATTATTCAACTAAAGAAAAAGAAAGGAGCTATCGAGCCATGAAAAAGTATCGAGGAAGCTTAAATGCATGTTACTAGAGAAAGAAGCCAACCTGAAAAAGCTCATATTATATGATTCTAACTCTATGACGTTTGGGAAAAGGCAAAACTATGGAGACATTAAAAAGATCAGTGGTTGCCAGGGGTTTAGAGAGGAGAGAGGAATAAATAGGCAGGGAGCACAGGGGATTTTTAGAGCAGTGAAACTATTCTGTATGGTACTACAATGGCGGACACATGTCATTAAACATTTGTCAAATCCACAATTTCTGAACCATAATGTAAACTATGGACTTTGGATGACAACGAAATGTCAGTGGAGGTTCGTCAGTTGTAACACATGTACCACACTGGAGTCGGATGTTGATACTGAGGGAGGCTGTGTGTTGAGGATGGGGGCAGAGGATATATAGGAACTCTGTACTGTCTGCTCAACTTTTCTATGAACATAAAACTGATCTAAAAAATAATGCATTTGGATTGTTTCATGGTCTTTAAGTTTTCTCTCCATAAAAGGAAAGAAACAAACCAAAAAAAACCCAAACACTAGAAATTGTGGACTATGTACATATATTATAGAAGAAAGATAATACAGAACTCCAATGAGTGGGTACATGCAAAGAAAAGGCCTAAACTCTGTTAGAAGATTGGCAAATGTCTGCATAGTTGTGTATTTTTAAGTAAATGTTTAAGATAGTGCATGTCATTTTTTAAGCATTCTCTGGTTTAACAGACTTCTTTTGATTAACCGACCAACTCTTAGTCTTAATTGCTTTTGCAGGATTTGAGAGAGAAGGATTTTGTTTGTTTTTGTCAAAATAAGTTTGAAAAATTTGGAGTAGATAATGTTTAAAAGATTTATTTACTCTAGACCTTCTCAGAGCCTTTACTATCCTATTTATCTGAATTATAAATCTCCAGGAGACAGATAGAGTAAGATATGTTCTTTAAATTTATTTGACCACAGAACCTTTTTCTCCCCTTGGGAACATCTATCATCAACTCAAGGAACTAGTGTTCTGGGGAGCAATTTGAGAGACACAGGAGTACAAAAACATACATATGTTTGAAGCAACAAGGTTTTCAACCTCCCCACCCCCACCTCCACCCTTGCCTGGTCAGGGAAAACAACCTCATTTGGCAGTTGTGTGCCTTTAAGTTTCAGTTCTGCCTTGCCTTAGGACCCAGGGGCCCCTCAGGCAGGGAGGGCTGGTGGTTGTGCTAGAGAAGTGAAATGCTACCAAACCGAGATGCTCTTCCTAGAAGGAGGAGGCTACTTGCGGGGTGTAAGGGGGAAGGGTGTGAAGAGAGTGTCCAGAGAGGGAGAGAGGGGAAGGAGTTTGGCCACCAGGAAGTCAAAGTCCCCCCACCCCACCCACCACCGTCATGGACAATAGAATAGTGGTTACCAGAGGGGAGGGAGGGGGGAGGAGGGAGGTAGATGGGGTTAAAGGGGTCAAAATGTGGTGACAGAAAGAAACCTAACTATGGGAGGGGATCACACAATGCAATATATATGTGCCTGACTATTAAATTGTACACCTGAAACTTAGTGGATTTCGTTAACCAATGTCACCAAAAAAGTTAATTAATTAAAAAAAAAAGACATGGGAACAGTGAGGGAAGAACAAAACAGCAATTTAACCCCCAGTGTGCTGTCTCCTTCCCATCTTCATGTTTCTGTCAAAAACAGTTTAATCTTAAAGAAGCTGTGACCACACACACTCACTGAAAATGAGACACATTTGGAGACTGCCAGCTCCGCTTGGCCAGGAATTACTTCTCTTGGATGAATTCTACTTTTGCTGGCTTCCCCTGACTCCTGCCTATAGATTCTTTCTCATGAGAAAGAATCATTTGAGGAAGATTTTTCAGCAATCCTATAAGATACTTCCCTTTCAGCTGAGCCCAGATTTAAACCCCAAACCAACTCTGTGGGTATTTGGCAGGCAATAGTCCCCAAACAAGAAGTGTGTGGTGGATGTGGCCCCTCACCAGGCTTATCTGTGAGCCAGACACCTGTCACTAAAATACCCAGGAAAAGTATCCAATTTCTAGTCTGAAATATACATGAGCTCCGTCTTGTCAAAGCTGAGATTTATAGAAGTCTTAAACATCTTACGAAGTGTGAACTGCTAGGCATATTAACTCTTGGATTTTTCCCTTCACTGTGCTAGGACAGTGGTGATATGTCTATTCACTTTTATTGTCCTACAGGAAAAGGAAAATCAGATATACTTGGTATAATGGGAAGGAGCCAATTGTAGAAGAAGCATGGAATCCCATTTTCAAAAACAGGACACCCTTCTCCCCTCGATAATAAGTGCAATGTCATTGCACTCGAGGCTCCTGCTCTGTCATAGCCATATTTCTGGGAAGACTGTGCTAGATGCTTTCTCTTAAGTGTCCTGAGTCTCCTGTCAGAAAAATAAAGTTATGAGTAGGAAATTTCATCTAAAATTAGAAACAGCTGGGGCAGGGAGTGGCCCTGTGCACGCTTTTGCTGATGGCCAGCACCCCTACTAGAGAAAAGGGAGTGCGGTGGGGCTTGGCTCCTACCTCTAATTCCATAGATCTCTCTCTGTTTCACGACACCCCTGGGGCCATGCACAAGGAAGTAGGCCCCAACAGAACTAACATACACATGTGCCTTTGCTCTTCTGTATGCAAGTTAAGGAGTGTTGACATATTTCCATTGTTCTAGCATTGTCATTTTATTTTTAAATTTATTTTTTAACAGATATACTCACACTTGGTTCAAAACTCACAATTATATTAAAAATAGATATTTAGAAGTCTCGTTGCCTCCACTCTCCTCTACCACCTCCTATGTAACCACTTTTAATTAGTTTTTACTATATCCTTTTGGCGCTTATTTATGCGTACACTAATTTATTCTTTCACTCGATATCTACTTACTGAGCACCTACTAGGTTCTAGGCCTACTGTATTTTAGGCACTGTTTTAGGGATGCATCCATACTGTCATGGAGCAAAAATCCTTACCCTTGTGGAGTTTATCACCTGGAAAAGGGTAGACAGACAATAAGCAATAAACATAAGAAATAAGAAAATAATAGAGTAGGGAGGATGGTGCTATGGAGGTTCGAAGAGGGCACAGGGTAATTTTAAATAGGGGGTCAAGATAGACTTCAAGAAAGTGACATTTTGAGCAAAGTTCGAAGAGGGCAAAGGAGTTAGGTATCTGAGTATCTGGAGGAAAAGCATTCCAGACAGAAGAACAGCCCATACAAAAGCCCTAAGCAGATATCCTATTTATGAAACAGCAAAGACCCAAGTGTGGCTGGAATGAAAAGAATGAAGGAGAGTGGTAGGAGATGAAGTCAGAGAAGAAGCACGAAAGGAGGACAGATCACACAGGACCTCGCAAGGACGCTAGTGTTTACTCTGAACATAATGGGGAGCCTGTCCCAGATTTTGAGTGACATGATCTGACTTATTTTGAGAGAACCTCTCTGGCTACTGGGTTGAGAATGGACAGTGAAGGGCAGGAGAGGGGAGGGGCTGGTTTGGAGGCTATTGCAATAATCCAAGCAAGAGGAAATGGTGGCTCCGACAAGCATGGAAGCAGTAGAAGTAGTAAGTGGTCAGATTCTGGGCAAATTTTTAAAGTCGTCACTAATGGATTGGGTATTGGGTGTAGAAGGAAGAGAAGACTCCATGATAACTCCAAGACTTTTGACCTAAGCAGTTGGGAATATAGAATCGCCATCAGTTTAGATGGCAAGTAGGGAGGGAAGATCAGGAATTTAATTATGCACAAGTGAAGTTCGAAATGCCTTTTAGACACCCAAGGAGAGATGCCAGGTGGCTGTGGGATCCACATTTGAGGGTTGTTATTTAGCCACGAGACTAGATGAGATAACTAAAGGAGTGAGTGTAGATAGAAAAAAGGAGGTGGACCGAGGGTCGAGTCCTAGGACACTCTAATGCTAAGAGCTGAGGGTGTGGAGGGGAAAAGGAGAACCAGAAAAAGGGGTCTGGAAGGAACAGTGAGGTAGAGGAAAACTAGAGCAGAGTGGTGTCCCAATGTCTAGTGTTGAAAGTTTCTCAAGCAGAAGGAACTGATAAATTGTGTAAAATGTTGCTGGTCAAGGAAAACCACTGGGTGAGCCGTACTGAGGGCACATGGTGCCATATGTGTCACGTTGGTGTTTATGACGAAATCAGTTTCAAGGAAGTGGTGGAGGTGTAGGCCGCGTCAGCGGGTTTAAGTAGGATTTTGAGAGAAGTCACAAATAGTAAAGGTGGACATCTCTTTCTGAGGGTCTTGCTAAAAGAGGAGCAAAAAAATGAAACAATAGCTGACAGAGGAAGTGGGGTCAAGAGGATTTTTATGAGGTGGAAAAAATAATGTGTGCTACCTTGAATGATTCAGGAAAGTGGAGAGAAGTAATAATATTGGAGCATTCTGAATTTTTAGAGCAATAACCTTGAATAGATTTGAGGGCTAGCCTCCCCCTTACTATATTTTTTGTATTTTTCTTATAAAAGATAACATTTTCTATCCACTGTTCTGCACACTGAATTTTTCATTTAACAATCTCTGGTTCTCTTCATATCAGTACATGGAAATGTCCTCTCTTTTTTAAAGCTGCGTAGTTATTCCACTGGAATGACATACCGCAGTTTATGTGTTTTTTTCAAGCTTTTGCTATCCTAAACAATGCTACTCTGAATAACCGTGTATATGCCTCGCCTCATATGTGTCAGCCCTGTTGCTGCTTCAATACAAGAGCTAAAGTTTATAGTCTATCAGCTTTCCACATTTCTAATCTCTGACTTTTTCTTCTCTCTTTTGGATTTCCTCCCCTTTTTTTATTAACTCTATATTCAAATTAATTTTGCC